ATAGATCTACAGATTTTTAAATTGAAAGTAACTCTAATCCTTGGAAAAGATATTCAAATGACGTGTCTGTACCTACAAAGATCATAATTGTGCAGGCCATGGTATTCCTTGTGACACTGTATGAAAACTGGACTTTAAAGAAGCAGGATAGGAAGAGTATTGATGCCTATGAACTTTGGTGTTGGAGAAGACTCCTGAGAATACCATGGACAGCCAAGAAAACAAACCAAAGGATCATTGAACAAATCAACCCAGAGTTCTCACTCAAGGCACAAATGACTAGGCTCAGATTATCCTACTTTGGACACATTATGCGAGGACCCAGCTCTCTGGGAAAGGTGGAAGGAAAGGAAAGAAGAGGATGACTAGCAGTGAGATGGATGGACTCAGTTACAGTAGTGATGAGCGCACATTGAGAGACTTGAAAGAACGAGTTAGGGATAGATCATCATGGTCACTAGGAGCTGAAAACAACTTGATGGCACATAATCAATCAACTCTAATCCACTTAGTTTTTAATCTATCCCATTTCAAATGAATGTATATCCATGGTTCAAAGTCAAGCTTCCCAGGAAAAAGGCAGACACGGTATGGCCTTGAGAGTTCTCAAAATACTTTAGAAGCTTTTGTACCCTTATAGAAGAAGCGTGCAAGCTTTGTTTAGCCAAGGGCCATACTTAGAATTCTAAGTATTAGAATACTTAGAATGGAAGGAGCATTCTCCAAAGTGAAAGGAGGCAGAATAAAAACTTTGATTTAAAGTAAATTACATTTAAATTACACTAATTAAGTTAATGTTTACTTTCCATGTATTTAATTTAAAAATTATATCATTCTGTCCCAGTAGAAAAATCAATTTGTGGTAAATGTTGAGGAGTTCTGGGGGCTTCATCCAATGCTTTGTGGGTGGTACAAGTTTTGGATAACCAAGTTATATATCCTAAATTAACTGTGGGATTGGAAGTAAATAGCACTGCTTTTTGTTAAATTTGCTTTTTTTTTTGTTGGGACAGTCCCAAAAAAGATTGAAATCTTTCTATGTTGGAATTATCCAGAGGCTATTAGATCTTTGCAGTCACAAATAATGACTGATATGAGGGACTGAAACAGGATAAGAGTTACCATTGGTCCACAATACAAGATCCAGCTAGTAGATGTATAATACTAATGTTCTGTAAGTTTCGCTGATTCTTCATTTGGTTCCAGATTAAAATAAGTATTCTTGTCTGTATTTTTAATAGCTTTGTATGCAATGGTTCTGTTATGCAGAAAAGAATAGCTGCTGCCATGTTTATTCACTGAAATCTAACATCATAACATTGTTAGCTTCTGTGGTTCTAGTCTGTACATTTAATTTCCTGTAGAGTGCCTACTGATTAGGTAATTCTAAATATAATAAACACTATCTACTCTTATTATGATCACTTTTGTCAGAAGTGAGGTTAATTTCATCTTCCTTCTTCTCCATCTAATAATTGATATTCTTTGGGTGAATTATAATCTTACGTAAGATCATTATAAATAGAAGAACTATAAAACAAGAGAAACAGTAAACATTTTCATAAAATCTTATGAAATGTATAAAAACATCACACTAGTACAGTATGGATATTTTAAATAACAAACAAATTCTAAAAGCACAATCCTTTTTAATTATTTTTTTTTTTTCAGAATGGGATATTTTGGCCATTTCAGTAAGCACCACGTTACCAACCTCGTTTCAATTCTTTTTTTTTCCCCAGCTAATAAAGGTTGAATAAGCTCTTAAGATCCCATTTTGTTTATCCTTTATTTATATCTGAGTATTCGAAGTTCCTGCTATAGGTGGAACTAACCCATTCAGCCATGTGATTAAATTACTTAAAGAAAGTTAATTTTCTTTTAATTAGAGTAGGTCAGTACATACGGGCATTCAATGTTGATGACAGTTATAGTCAACAATTTTTCATCATTTTGACATAGGTGATGTGTTGATTTTTCTGAGGAATTACGTTTCTATGGGAAATTTCACTTTGAAGAGTTATTCTTCCAAGTTCTCTTCCTATATAGAAAGATGCTTCAAACTAGTAACAGATTCTGCACTAAGCCTGCAAGTATGAACTGATACTTGCATACAAAAATATGTACCAAGGTTAATGATGGATAAAGACATGGATGAGACAAAATTGAACATGTTCATGCTTGCAAAGGAAAATAAAAGTAAAACTGAATGTCTACTAACAATTTTGGTTTTTAACTACTCACAATTCCATCTTCTCATAATTACAGCCCCCTAACAAGGTTATCTGTATAATCATGCTTTTTAGTGGAAAGATAGA